TTCTTTCTGACTAGATCGATAAACTCATTTTATATGTGATTAATAATTTAAAATTTTAAGTTAAAAGTTTTAAATTTAAATAATTTAAATTTAAATTTTTTTTAAAAAAAACTGATCGTCTCTTAGTTATCCTTTAACTAATAATTCATTGTTAAAAAAAAAAGAAAAAGAAAAAGAAAAAAAGAGGGAGCCCATTTTACATTGATGAACTAGGCTCATTGAAGATGGGCTTTTAAGGCCGACTTTTGTCCTCAAAACTCAAAAGCTAAAGCTTGGAGTTAGAACTTAGAAACAAAGCCACACAATCGGCACTCCTCCCGCTCCCCTCCCCCTGTACTGTCTGTACCCAAGCCATATACTCAGCTGCAGTAGATTGTAATGGCCTCAAACAACGGTACATCCACCACCACCACCGTCAACCGAGACCCACCGGAATCTAATCTTCCTTCTCAATCCCTAACGCCCGCCGAGGCCGTCGTCAATCTTCAACCTCGGGCGGCGGAGGCACAAGCGGCAGATGAAGTAAATGACAATCAAGGGTCAGAAGAAGGTGGAGAAACCGAGAAGAAGGCATCGGAGACGGTCGAGAAGTGGCCCGGATGGCCCGGATACAACGTCTTCAGGTTGATAGTGCCAGTGGGCAAGGTGGGCAGCATCATCGGGCGCAAAGGAGAGCTCATCAAGAAGATGTGCGACGAAACTCGTGCTCGAATTCGCATCCTCGAGGCACCAGTTGGCACTCCAGATCGAATTGTAAGTATTCTTTTCTTATCGACATCCATTATTCCTGGTTAAAATAATCAATTCACCACGATGTTTGTGCCCTAGGGTTTTTCAAGTTTATGCCTTTTCCGTTATATTGAGGGTTTTATCATTGCTGGAATTTTGGGAATTTTACTGAATATCCCAGGGCTCCTATTTAACCAGTTTTATTGATAATTGCTGTGAATTTATTATAATGGACATTTTAACTTCTCTTCTGTAGGTTCTAATATCTGGAAAAGAAGAGCCAGATGCACATCTGCCGCCTGCCACCGATGCTGCAGTAAGAGTGTTCAGACGTGTTTCTGGTCTATCTACTCTTGAGGGAGATGATACTGGCACAGCAGTTGCAGGGGCTGCCTTTTGTTCCATAAAGTTATTGGTAGCATCTTCACAAGCTATCAACTTAATTGGAAAGCAAGGATCAACAATTAAATCCATACAAGAGAGCACCGGTGCTACTGTGCGCATCTTAGCAGAAGGTTTGCTTTTAGCCTTTTCTGCAGATTGGTGGAGTTGTATGAAACAGCTTAAATGATGTTTCAGTTATGCCTCTCTTTATGTTTTAGTGTCACAATGTTTAAACCAAATGTGGTGGTTGTCTTCTAGGAAGTATTCTTAATATTTATTAATATGGTAGTTTGATTGGTTTTTCATAAATGCATAGGGTTTTTCTTTCACCTTTTGTTGACGTACATGCTTCTTATTCCTGTGTTTTTTTATTGGTTAATGGATATTGTGCCATGAATACTTCATCATAAATTTGTTTTTCCAGTCTTTTGAGTGATGGAAAAGTGCACCTAAACCTTTTAGCTTATTGTTGAGCAATAGATCTAGTGAAAAAGAATTGGTTAAAAATTTTGCAAGAAGGGGGAAATGACCTAGGGTTTCACTTCCAGGTTGTAGTATAGAGTTTGATCTTGATGGATGATAAATTTTTCTTATGTTTTCTTTCTCTCTCTCTTCACGCTTCCAGTTGGTAGTATAGAGTTTGATCTTGATGGATGATAAAATTTTCTTATGTTTTCTTTTTCTCTCTCTTCACGCTCCCTAATGTTACAACTTACATGCTTGTTTCTTTAGCATGTAGGTTCATTTTGTCTTCATCTGGATTAGCTGCACCTTTTTTCTTCACTTCAGACTCAATTGATTTTTTGCCTTTGTTTTGTCAGAGGAATTACCCTCTTATGCTACTTCAGAGGAGAGACTTGTAGATATTCATGGAGAAGCTATGAAGGTTCTCAAAGCCTTAGAAGCTGTGTTGGGACAGCTAAGGAAGTTTTTGGTTGATCACACTGTTATTCCCATTTTTGAGAAAACTGTAAGTGTTAGATCTGAAATTTCTTTGCTGAGATATTTGTGACTGCTTGGGATTAATACAGCTTCCTTTTCCAGTACAATGCACAAATATCGCAGGAGCGTCCAGCTGCAGCTGCAGCTGCAGCTGCAGCAGATACTTGGGCTGATAGAACTCAGCCATCTCTGCATTCAGCTCCTGCTCAACAGGCTGGGGCTGGGATTGCTTCTGATTATTCCCTGTCACTGAAGCGGGATCCTTTATATGAACGTGAAACTCATCTTGAGCCTAAAATCTCACAATCAGTGCTGCCACTTCTTGGAGATCGTGGACTTGGAGGAGTGCGTTCAACAGGACTTAGTCGTACTGCTGCACCTATAGTTACTCAGGTTGGTTGTAAATTGTGTTCTGTTGTTGTTTGGTATATAATGTATAACTAGTGGGTCTATTATTGCTGATTCTGCAGCAATCTAATGGTTAAAGTAAATACCATGCTCCATGTGTTCTTGCTTAGACAACTTTTGTTCAATCTTGGAATACCCATGCCTCCTTGAAAATAACCTGAGCTAGGATGTTATTTTCTCATGAACAACATTCTGTCTGGGGATGAGGTTAGTCTTTAGAACAATGACTTGCTAGGTTGAGAAGTACTTTTAATGGTATCTGTTTATTTTCTTGAAAATTCTTTGAGGATAATTGGGAAATGTTCTTACATGTTATTCATAGGCTGCCTCTGGCATATTCTATTGAGGTTGATCATAATCATTATTACTATTTATTTCAGATGACACAGACAATGCAAGTACCATTATCATATGCAGAGGACATCATTGGTATTGGTGGATCAAATATTGCTTACATTCGTCGTACCAGTGGAGCGATCCTTACAATTCAAGAGAGTGGAGGTTTACGAGATGAGATCACTGTAGAAATTAAGGGCACCACTACACAAGTTCAGATGGCTCAAATGTTAATCCAGGTAGTTTTCTCAATCTTGTTATTGTTATATATCTAATCTAAAAATGAAATGGGGCTAGCTGGAATTTCATTTTGTCCCTGCTATCATTCTGCATTCTTGCGTTTTTACTGTGTCATTCGTCCTGGTTCAATTATCTCCTGGTAATTAGTAGGTCATCCATGCCAGCAGATAACAGTATTATTTTGTTTTTCTTTGTTTCTCTTAACTTAAAGGGTTGCGTTATATTTTTTCAATATGTTTTCTTTTTCTTTTGGGAGGAAGTGGGAAGGCTTTCCTAAGACTGTTTTGATTCTTGTAATCTGTGAGGCTATATGGTTGCTTCAACTAGTTCTTTCTTTTTGCAGGAGTTCATCACCAACCACAAGGAACCAACCACTAGCGTTTATGACAACGTTGATACAGGGCTGGTTTCATACTCACAGTTGCCAGAGACCAACTATCGTCCATCTTATTCATCACATCTAGGAGGTGGGTATGGATCTTCTGATGTTGGGAGTTATGGGTCCTCCAGCTTGGGCGGATATAGCAGTTATAGGTATTGATCTGTTATCACGATTGGATTGCTTGACTAATTTGTTTCAGTGAGTACTCTTAGTACAGCTGAGAAATTTGTAGCACGTCTTGACCAAGACTTGCATAACTTTTATCTGAAACTATGAAAGGAGAGATGGTAGATAGTACTTGATCTTCTAGCATTCTTCTTGCTCTTATATTTTATCTTTTCATGTTAATATTGTGTTCTTATTTAGTACAGTATAAACAGAGTCAACAGACTCAAGTTTATTGCTTATAGTCAGGATACATTTGAAATGTTATCATATCAGCAAAATAGCGAGGCAAACATGCTACTGGAAATTTAGTTTATTGTTAAGAACTAGTGCAAGGAGCAGATTAGATCTAACAGCAAACCCGAATCCTGAAACAAGTACCGAAATTAAACTGTCAATGCAGGGAGCACGCATTAGGAAAGTGTAGATAAGTTCATGATCATGCTTTCACAGCTCTGCCGAACATGGTAGGACAGCTATAGACATTGCAAAACGTCTGCAGACCCATCAGCAATAGCAGCAGCACGGATGCAAAAACTGTAAGAAACCTCCAGGAGGAGTATATGTACTTCTTCAGGAACCTTTTTTGCCGGACCTTTCGGGTGTTGTTGTAGGAAGCATTAGCCTTCTTGATGGCTGTGTCGATGATCCTATCCTTCGACTCCATTGTTTTGGTCATCCCGTTAAAGATCTCTGCAATCTCAGCACTGCTCATCTTGCTCTCGAGGACTTTGGATTTCCTCAGCAACTCCACATCTTCAACAGTATCTATAATTGCCCCCATTAACTCACTGAATCGTCTGAAACTCAACGCGTCTGACTTTTCCATGGTTTCGTATGCCACAAGGTTTTTTATTAGCACTTCTGAGGTGGGATTGAGAGTGATGATAGGAAGGTACAAAGTGTTGGTCTTCTCATTGAATTCAACATACCTGATACCACCAACAAGATGTTGGTCAAGTTAAAATATTTATGAACTAACTTTAAAACGAATAACTAAGCACTAACCTGGTGCCGCCCGTTGCAGGGGCGAATCTCATTTGAGCAATCCAAAGTTCCGAAACTGATGGAATCAAAACTTTCTTGTCATTAAAGAAGGCCGTAGCCGATATTCCGAGGTGTGCTAAAATATTCAGAAACAAATCTATAAATTTCGTAAAGATTCTAAGGAAGCCAATGTTAATTTCTGATATCTTGCTCCACAGTTTGGAAAAGACGTTGGAATTTGCTGAGGTATTTAAATTAGCTTCGATGTCAAAACCCTCCCTTGATTTCTGGGAATGGTATTCGGTTAAGCGGTGTTCCTTCTCGTTGATATCTTCTTCATAAGTAATGTATTGGTACAGAAGATCCAACAAATGCTCATGCTCCAAGACTTCCGATTCAGGGTTGCACCACTCCACTTTAATTGGAGAGATCACCTTGCAGAAATCCAGAAACAGGGTCGACAAAAATTTGTCAGGTGAAGTGGATCCCAAGCAACTCATCTTTGCCAAGATCTCCAATAAGACGAACCTAAACCAAAAAGAACTTATTTATAACCGAGTTGATGTCTACTAATTTCAAAATTTATACTTCTCTAGAATGTGATATTGGGGTTCAAACTTCTATAATAACTAAAGTACTAACAAGAAAAAACACGAACCTGGGAATTTGGTTCTCGAGCATCAGGACGTCTCTAAGGATGGCATCCCCAGGTAGCTTCTTCCCAGAGGAAGACTGAACTAGAAGAGACGAAGACAGAGACGAAGTCCGCGGGATTTCCTTCTGCTTGACATAGTTGTCCAGCAGCTGGAGCAGGAAGAGACCATCTACAGTAAATATCATTGCCAGTGTCTGATTCTCGAGATTGAAGCGGCCACGGTAAGAGTGACGAATTTTAGGTACTATAGTCATGAGCTGATCGACCAGCTGCTGGATCTCAACGAGCTGATATTGCTCGCTGAACATCTTGGCCAAAACAATTTTGTACCTTTGCATCTCGTACAGCTCAGAATTAAGATGGTAGTATGGTCCGAGTGCAATGAGCTGCGGAGTGTAGGCCTCAGGCTTGTGATCCCGCAGAGATTTCGGCACCCGAAAGATGCATACGGGGGCGTCAGTGTCATTTTCGAGCTCTCGGTTGAGAACTTCAGTGATCTTAGCCACCCATTTCTGTTGAGTGAACTGAGAATCAAGGATTGTGTTACAAATAGAGGACATGTTGGTTTTGCTTGTTTTGTGTGTTGGTATGATTATGCACTTTAGTTCCTTTAGTCTTAATTATTTATATAGGGGAGGATTATTGGATCCACCATTGCCTTTTATTGGAATTCATCGTCATTCGTTAATTGGTAGGATTAAAATTATGAACAAGATGAGATTTTGTTTTTCAACACACACGGTGAAAGTTGGATTGGAATGAGAAAGGTAAATTTAAATGGAATAAAAACAATCAAGATTGTTCTATAAAAGGTAACTTAACTAACATAATTATAGTTGGATAAGAATTTTTGTTTTATAAAATATGTTGAACTGTACTAAATTATATAATTTAAAAAATTAAACGATAATAAGAGTTTTAATATTACTTTATAAAAAATGTTCTAAATATAGTTTTATTTTAGTCCATGTGTATATAGATTAAAGGACATTTAACCATTTAAACATAGATACAATATGCTTAAATTAGAAAAAATTTGGAAAACATATAAAGAAGTCAAATTCACAACTCTAAGATTATGAGATCTTAGCCTCTAATCTTAACGAATTGTTCACATTGTTAGTGCTTTTTACCTGGTGGTGTGGGTAAATTAAGTTTATGTACAATGTGTGTGTTTTTTTTTTTATTGTTCCTTTTTCAGAAAAAGAAGAGAGACAAAACCCAATCCCTATTAAAGTGTGTTCTATAAGCAAGCTTTCTCTCCCGGTAGTAGAGAGCAACTTGGTTTTTGTTGTGGTTGGTAGAATTTTTTGTGTAAGAGGTCCTTCCACGTGTGGGAGTAGGGGTAGATGAAATCTTATCTTGAGCCTTATCTCCTTTGTGGATGGTCTGGGTTTGCTGGGGCATTTGGGCCTTTCCTATGTTGGGACCATCATTTGGAGCTAGACATTGTTGGTTCTTTTGCTGAAGAGAGGGATTCGGACCATTTGGAATAACGGTAGTCTCATTTAATGAACTGTCAACTCTTATGCTCCCTTTTGAAATAGGTGCCCTTGACTTGACCCGGCTCTCAACCTACTAGGTCCACTCGCTGAGTTTGCTTGAGGTTGATTGCTTTGTTTTTCCATCGAAATATTTGATTGGCTAGCTTTAAAGCTAGTACTTGGTTTCTTTTTGGATCGCTTCCTCTCTACCAACATCTAAGGGCCAAAGCTTTGAGATTCCGTAATTCCAATATCCTGAACATTTTCTAATTCAGAGGGAAGCTGAGAGTTGATGGCAGTTTCCTCGTTAGGAGGGAATGAGAAAGGTAAATTTAAACGGAATGAAAACAATTAGAATTATTTTGTAAAAAGGTAACTTGACTAACATAATTACAGTTAAATAAAGATTTTCGTTTTATAAAATATGTTGAACTGCACTGAATTATATAATTTAAAATATTAAACAATGATAAGAGTTTTAATATTATTTTATAAAAAATGTTCTAAATACAGTTTTATTTTAGTACAAGTGTATATAAATTAAATTACATTTAATCATTTAAACATAGATACAATGTGGTTAAATTAAAAAAAAAATTTGGAAAACATATAAAGAAGTCAAATTCACAACTCTAAGATTATGAGATCTTAGCCTCTAATCTTTAACTAATTGTTCGCATTGTTAGTGCTTTTTACCGGATGGTGTGGGTAAATTAAGTTAACGTACAATGTGTGTTTTTTTTT